AGGATTTTCCAGAGAGCATTCTGTTATGGAATTTTAATTTAATTCCATTTTGTGGTCAGAGAACATACTCTGTATGACTTGAATTCTTTTAAATTTAATGAGATTTTTGGCCCAGAATGTGATCTATTTTGGTAAATGTTCCATGTGTTCTTGAAAACAATATGTATTCTGCTGTTGTAGGGTGTAGGATTATATAAATGTCAATTTAGGTCAAGTTTGTTGATGGTGCAATTCAAGTCTTCTAAATTTTTACTCATTTCCTCTTACATTTAAAATTTTTATCAAGGTACAATATCTGCAACTAAATTTGAAAATTAATATATTAAGTTTGTTTTAAAATATCTTTCTTCCTCCAGCATACATAGGCATGTGCAATTGCACATATGTACAATATCACAAATAGAACACAGGACTGGAATTAAGTGAAGCATCTAATAGTGATGTTACAACTCTGAACAAATTTTACTACTTAAGAGAGCACTTTTGTATCTGGACTATTTTATCTTTCCTTGTCTGACCTTGTAGCTACTTAATTGCAAAATGTGTTCTATTCACAGTACTTCTTAATATTTTATTGCTTATGCCAATTCATGCCCCCACTGCAAATAAGGCAGAAAGTAAAATCTACAATACACAGAAAGAAATACATTATTAGTATTCTATTTCAACACATTATATATCTTAAAAACCTTGCATTCTACATTTGTTTATAAAATATAGGTTATGGGACAATGAGAAAATATGACACTTGAAACATTTAACTTTGCAACCAGAATACTAATAAAAATAATTATTATCCAATTAAAATATTAACATTCAGTAAATGTGCACTACCATGTGAATCCTGGCTCACAACTGATGTTTTCAGTCTCAAATTTGTAAGATGTATGTCCTTAAGGGTGTTTACCTCCAATGAAAACAATGTCATTAAAATTTAAAACATGCTGTGGACCTGTTCTTTCTTCAACAATCAATTATTTTTTAAACACAAAGGAAATACCTTCTTTACTCCTATAGATTCACTAGCTAGCACAATATAGTAATGATACCAGTTCTTGAAACTGTTAAACAAGCTTCATATGGATATAAGAGAAGTACTGCGCATAGCATTCTTAACTGTAGAAAGCTTGTCTCTGGATGTTTAAAACTGTTGATTTGCTGGGGGCAAAAATGACAGATGAACCAAGGGTATCATTTATTTACATGTCAGTCATGTATTAATTTGCTTACAATAGGAGTATGTTTCAGTTGAAAAGGTAGTACTCCAATTCTCTCATCTTGAAATGCATAGCATTTCTAATCTTTCTGTAGCATTATTCACCACTGGGATTTAAATCTCTTTACTCCCAGGATCACTGAAAACATATTTACTGCACACCAATTATACTCCAGAGTCTGTTCTAAATGCTAGAGACAGAGGTGAACATGATAAGCCAGATCCCTGTGTTCATAGGTTTTATATTCTGGTGGGGAACACAGACAGTAGACCAATAACTCAATAAACAAATAAATAAATATATAAGAATTATCCTTGCCTTTAAAAAATAATACTGGGCGAGGATGTGGAGAAAAAGGAACTCTCCTGCACTGCTGGTGGGAATGCAAACTAGTACAACCACTATGGAAAACTGTTTGGAGGTTCCTCAAAC